CAAACTAATGGTTGCATTGATCTTATCGTTCACTCCTTTTGGTCTCCATTTGATTGCAATATAAATGCTTTGTTTCCCAGAATTCACGCCATATATCAACACATCCTCGGCTTTTGTCTAATTTTATAAATAAATACGAAAATAATTATTATTTATTTCAATAATTGTTTAGCTAACATTAAATTAACTGATTAAGTTATAAATATAATATTTTGCACGTTGTTTATATTTAACTTTGCTATTTTATAAACTTAATAATATTTAATATATTTTTAACTACAATTCAGTATGAATAATGTGGTTTATAGGATCGTTCGGCTGCCCCTCTCCCTTTATTCTTTACTCATATTATTTATTTAATAATTTTTTTTATATGAAATATATAATTTATATTCTAATATTTATAATTAAAGTATTAATACATAAGTATCACAAAATGTTTTAAACATAAATTATACTTTTCGAAATTAATTGTTTGAGCTATGATTAATTGAAATTAGTTTATTGAATTTTTACCAAAGTGCTATTATTTTACTATAAACTTTTAAAACTATGTAAATTATTTATTATAGATATTATATATTTCTATATATTTTAAATATAATAAACAAAAGATATGATGCAATATGAATATCACCAATTTAACTGCTGAATGAAATTTAATTAATTTAAAAATATGACACTTATTTAATTGTGGCAATTAATTTATCAATAACTATATGTAAGTATAATTGCAAAAATTATTTGCACAAAATTATATGCAATAAAATATGGATACTTTAATTATATAATTTACTTAAAATATTAAATGAGTAATCAGTATAAGCCATACCTGTGTCGGCAAATCATAATCCCATTCGTGAGGAAAGGGGAGAATTCCGGTGTCGTTAATGTTTTCCTTCCAGACGTCATGAGTTATCACTCGATTCGTCTTTTGTTGTCTTCTTTTTGACCATAATTTCCAGAATTGAGTCAAATATGTAAACCACTGGCCATTGATCTCACGGTTTAGTGACAATAATTTGTTCAAATATACCGTTATTACAGGTATTGAGACTAAGAGCCACATTATTATAACTGCTAATTGAATACTTTATATAAAACTTTAAGATAAATTCAAGTATAAAGTTGTTTTGAATAATTCTATATTGAAATGTCTCGGTATTTATACTTTAAGTATAATATGAAAAAAGTATGAAAAGTAGCGTCAATTTGACATTTGTTGCACCGATAAGAAAAACTATATGACGTCACTATCAGTAAAACTAATGGCATTACACATTGTACATATACTTTACTGTAAAGTAGTATTGATTGCATTAAGTAATCACAATAACCAATTCTATATACTCTATATTCAGTTGTATATTATACACTGTACTTTATACAACTTTCTGATATAATATTTGCCATATATTTCAATATTAATCCGCGTATATCAAAATAATAAGATGTGTGGCGTTACCAAGAGTATATTTCAGTATAACCTTTGCTATAGCTAAAGTAGGAATGATAAAACATTTGTTAGGTATAAAGTACAACAATAAGACTTTTTAATACTCATTTACAAGTCTATGATTATGATTATTTCATAGTTGTATCTAAATTCTTGACATTTAATGTATTTTGTACTGATTTTTGATATCATTTGATATCAATTTCGAGTCCAAAGATAAATGTTACTTATTAATTAAGTTTACATTTGATTAATTATTGCATTTCAATTAATATTGTTATTTAGTTTTAATTAATTTTAAAAGTTGTTATATTAAAATTTATACAAACTTTGGACAAAAATGTAAACATTTATTCATATATTTAATGAATTATTTATAAAATTTACCATAAATTGTAACTTAAGTTATTAGCAAATTGCTTACTATTAAGACCCGAGTGTGACATTTATTTGTGAATAGCCCTCGAGTGTCGCTCTTTTGCTTCCGATAGAGTGACCACTTTTGATATGTTATTTGATTGTCGTTTAAAATAGATATAATAACAGACTAAACACAAGAATATACTCATTATTAACACTTTCTAATTGAATGCAAATTACACTAAAAATAACAAAATTCAAATAAAATTCTTAAAATTGGGTTTTATTTTATTTAATCCTTTGTTAATTTAAGTTTAAAACCAATTTATTATAAAGATCTGTTAATTTGTATATTCAATTATTTATTTATTATGATATCATTTATTAATAAAATATAAAACATATTATTTATGATTAATTAGAATAATTAAGATACCGTAATATAAAATAATAATTATACTTTTAAAATTAATAATCCTATAACGAATTCACTCGACTTTAGTGATGGTCTGTGTCTTAGTGTCCAATAGACAGATATCGCCGGTCCTGAAGGCACGACACGCGCCCTCCACTGCTATCAGACTCGGNGCCGGTCCTGAAGGCACGACACGCGCCCTCCACTGCTATCAGACTCGGGATCCCGTATTCGCGGGCAATGACTGCCCCGTGAGATATCGTTCCACCGATTTCTGTGATTATACCCGAAAGTAATGGGAAGTAAGGACTCCAACCGATGTCCGTCGAGTACGTGATCAGAATATCTCCCGGCTATCAACACATCACATATTGTAATACATTTAATAATTAATATTCATTATAATAATAATTACCTGAATATTGTCAGCTTCTGTAATGTCTTCAGATACACAAACCCTCGCTTTTATGGATCCATTACTAACTGGTGTTCCCGTCATTTGAACCATACCTGAGGTCAGAACTGGAGGTATAATTTGGTCCTCAAACTATTACAAGAGTAAATCAATTAAAACTTATAATTAAAAAATGTTTACAATAATTATATGATAAATGCATACATTTCTGGGTTTCATTTCGGGTCCTTTAATAAACTCTTCGAACTTGTATTTATCCATTCGAGGGTAAAGTCTTCGCCGTTGTCTTACTCTCGAGAATATCAATGGATCTCTTTGTCCATTACATAGCGCTTCCACTTCAGTGACAGTCAAGTAGAAGAATGTGTCCACCGATGGTATGAGTCCTTCTTTAGTCATTTGTTGAGCCAAATGCCAAAACCCTTCTCTGCATTTGTTATTCATCCAAATCATGAAATACTTGGAGAGCTCTCGATATCCAATCCCTCTTCGAGTCCACGGAAGCAATACTTGTTTTAACAGAAGTTTCTTGAATGTAGTCAATGGTGTCTTTAATCCATTCACAACTTCTTCGACAGATTTTTCAATCTTTGCGTCAAATTGTGATTCATTTCCCGATAAGATAGTCTACAATTAGAGTACAAACAAAGTTATTAATTTGTTTTTATAATAAAATATATGTTATACTATAAAATTAATTTTAAATTATAAATACTTTAATAGTTTTAATACAAGGCATTGGATTGCCTTTCCATGGCTTATACATGGGATCCAATTCCCGATACCCTCTGTGTCCGTGTCTTTCAATAAAGAATCTAAACTTTTGTGAGGACTCATCGCTTCCAGTGGTCAGCACTTGAAGCGCTTCCTCATCACTCAATTGTCGGAACCATTGCTTGTCTTTAATAGACTTTGCGATTTCACTCAACATTTTTGGCACTTCAGCACTGATTACATTTGTCGCCGAAGATATCATTAGATTATAATCGTCCTCAACGTTGTTATTATTATCTATTGTTAAAATAATATTTATAAAGTTATAAACTTTATATAATTAATTTGTGAAAACTATTTAACCATAGATTACCTGTCGATGATTCAAGAACTGATTTCAAAATGCTATTTTTAAATCCCGACCCCATAGAGACCGGGCCGTGATTTTTTAACGCTGTGTTTGTTATAAAAAACTGATTGTCCAAAATTGTATTGAATATGTCTTTACTATTGGATTTATGTTTCAAAATGTCGACCAAATCGTACCGATTCTTCTCAATTGTCTCCTCTTTTGTTTTAATTAAGTTTTTGGGTCCAAAGAGTAGGGAATGTATTAGATATGAAATCATCCGGACTTTCCCTATCAGTGACGGCTTCGTGTCCTCCAATTGTTTTCTCCGGAATAATTGGAGGACATCTTTGTCGTCGATCTGATGGCCAAACATCGCTAATACCATAGACTGCGCCTGTTTTGACTCCGGGTAACCCGCAAAAAAATTAAATGGACCCTGAGCAAAGTGTAAGATTTCAATTATTAATACAATTAGAAATAAAATTACAATTCAATCAGGGGCAAACTTACACTGCTTAAATTAAACATCACTTGATTGTATTGAATGCCCATTACTTCAAAGAACGGATTGTAATCCTCGTCAATCGATTTTCCGTTTAATATTTCCTGACGCTATTAATTGGCAAATATTATTGATAAACATTTATTGCAAATAATTACAAATATATTTAATAATATAACTGTAGAATCATACTTACGAAAAAATTAGTTTTATTAGCCCAAAACCACTGCAAACAAATCCATGATGATGAGCCGGGAAAGTTCTCACCCCAATGGGCGCGCGAATAAATTTCAAACTCTGTCGGATGTGAAGAATCCAATTCATGCATAATCTCGTAATCGGTGTAAGAATTGTCTAAATTAGTTACGGGTCTCGACTGAAGCATAAATATTTGGCCCCCTTTTAAACCCCATTCTATATCTCTTGCGTTTCCGTAATGTCTGTGAATCTGATAAATAATTATTAATTTATGAATGAAATTATTATCATTAAAAATAAATCATACCTGAAGTCCAATATCACCCAAACGTAGTAAGTCTTCATCACTAATACAACAGTTGTTGTTATCAATGACCTCTTCCTCAACAGTGCCTCCATTTTCTAATAGTCTGATTAAAGTCTTCTTCTTTCCGATGACTTTGGATTCAATGGCAATAATATGTCTTCGTTTGGACAAAGAGTTGGACTCAATATTTGTGGACATTTTGATTGTGTCGGGTTCTGAAGACGCGGAGTATCCAATTCATGCATAATCTCGTAATCGGTGTAAGAATTGTCTAAATTAGTTACGGGTCTCGACTGAAGCATAAATATTTGGCCCCCTTTTAAACCCCATTCTATATCTCTTGCGTTTCCGTAATGTTTATGAATCTGAAAATTATTATTAATAATTAAACTATAAAAATAAATTACATCGTTATTCTTTACTTTAAGTCCAATATCACCCAAACGTAGCAAATCTTCATCACTAATACAACAGTTGTTGTTATCAATGACCTCTTCCTCAACAGTGCCTCCATTTTCTAATAGTCTGATTAAAGTCTTCTTCTTTCCGATGACTTTGGATTGAATGGCAATAATATGTCTTCGTTTGGACAAAGAGTTGGACTCAA